TGAAGTGGTTGGGTTTTGATCCTTGTCAGAACATCGACAGGTGATCTGCAGTAGTGAGCTGCAGGCAATGATGTTAGCGGTTGGAAGGGTATTTACTTGAACAGCTAATGGAGCGATAAATCACTCCCGAAGTTGCACTTAGAGTTTATAGAAATCTAAAACTAAAACGAGTGAGTTAGTTAGAGATATAGCTTTAGCGACACATTTTTATGTATAGTTTACAAATGTTTAATAAAGCACACTTAACTAACCTGACAGAGGGTTATTTTTTTAAAAAAAAAAAAAATTATTTCTAATACTATGTTTTGCAATAGTAATTTACAGGTGATGATATTAAAAGGTGGAAGGATTTTTATCTGAATTCTTAATGGAGTAACAAATCACTTTCAAAGTTATACTTAGAGTAATAATTATAAAGACATATAAGCTAATTAGAGTTTTTAGTTTTAGTAATTCATATTATAATATATAGTTTATAATTGTTTAATAAAGCAATATAACTAGTCTGACAGAGAATAAAAAAAAAAAAAAAAACTATTTCTGATACTATATTTTTAAAGTTAATTAACTTTAATAGATATATTGACTAAGAAAAAATCCTTTCCGCTAATCCTCTAATCACATATAAAAAAGATGTTCGCAAGAAGTTTTTATACTTCCTTACTAATAAAATCTTAACACTTTCCTTAAAACAACTTAAAGTATGACTTCAAGAGTTACTTCTACCTTTTTTCTATTGTCTACAAATTTCTTCACTCAAAAACTTGACTTCTAGTAATTAAGAAAAATCATGTAGTACCTTTGATACCAATGGCAAAAAAGTTTCCAAAGGAAGAAGAACTGACTATGAAGTACCTGAAGGTCTTTCTAACCTTTGAAGTGAAAGGTTTATAGAGATTTTCTATAGTAAAAAGATTTATTTTCTCCCTTTTTGACTATCTTGGCCCTTTTAGAGCTCTCATATTTACAGTTTTCTAAGGAATTTTCCCTATCTCAATTTGATTCTGAATTTTAGGTAGTCAAATCCTTACCAAAGGTGATTGGCTAACATGAAATATATCAGTTTTTGAAATATAAATAAACTCCTATTGGTCATACTCAAGTGTCTTGATACATCATTAATGATATAGGAAAGAAAGTTTTAGAAAAAGTGTTCTTTTTAATTATATATATTTAATCTTCAGAAAACAATTATGATATTGAAAGGCGAGCAATGAATAGGAATAGAAGATCCAACTCTCATCTCTTATTAAGTCCCTCAGGTAATAAAAAGACTTTCTTGAACAAAAGCTAAGATCTCCAAACTTTTATCCCGATCAGGTAAACTCTTTCATAATATGACACTGGCTTCACTAGCAATAAGCAAATCAGTACATTGGTAGAATGATAAGTTCCTCAAAAATTCTTCTTGAAGTTACTTTCAGAAATAGCTAAGTTTCTTAAACATCATGAAGCTTAGAGAATATCTCAATTAGGCAAACCCCTTTCAAGAAAAAACTATAAAATGGAGTAAGAATCTTTTGGAGGGTTTTGAATTGTATTCCCCCTTCCCTTTTTTCCAGTGTCAACTTTAGCAATTCATCATTTTTTGAGATAATTAATAGTGACAAACTGTTGGCAATGATCCTGGTTAACTTAGAGGCACTATTGCCAAGCTACTAGGAGAGCAAATATTATCCCCTAAATCTGACTTAGAGTACCTAGTTTAGACTTAGTTTTGTTTAATCCAAACTAGCTTAGTGGACTTTTAATATTTTTTAAGTAGTGTAGTCCTTTAACTAATAATATATAATGACAAGTTAGTTGCTTTGTGAAAGTCTGTAAAATATTTAGGTATTTTTCAATATCTCAATAAAGACATGCCATTGTAGCATGATTGTGGGTTTAAAAAAAAAGATATATTGAATAGGATAGAAAATATAAACAACAAATAGATGGCAAAAAAAAATTTTTTTTTGATTGATATACAGTACTTTATAAAAATAATTTCATAATAAATTTTTATTTAATATATAGTATAATAATATGTGTATATTATTTAAAAAATAAAAATTTTAAATGAATTAATAAGTAATAATTTTTATTGTAGTTAATCTTGAAAAAATATTCTTCGGAATAAACATTATAAAATTTTTATAGCGTACAATAAATAATTATAAAAAAAATATCTTAAAAAATAAAAATTACATATAATATCAATTTATTTATATCGTATTTTTACAAAAAATATTTTTATTTAAATATTTATTAATGTACTATAAAAATAAAACTATATTAAAAAACTAACGCTCCTAGTTCAAAATATAATTTCAATAAAAAACCAAAAAAAAAAAAAAAAGAAAAAATTAAAAAACAATATCCCTAGTTTAAAATAAAACCCCTCGAAAAAGGAAAATTGTTCATTTTCCAACGAATCCATAAACGTACTATTTCTAAACTAGATCTTTCTCAAAGATGTAGTCGATGCTTTGAGTTTGTACCAAATTGTTCCAGTTTTCACTAACTTTTACTATAAATTACTGAAAAAATTAATATATTTGGCAAAATAAAAGAGCATTTGAATTAATAAAGTAAAAATTTGTAATCGGTAGAAAAATCAACTGACTACGTGTTTTGCCACCCAGTCTCTCACATAAATGCTCACTCTCATAAATTTTTTAACCGAGTATTTTTTGAATAACTGTTCGTTCTTATTAGGCTTCACCAAGTAATCAAGCATCAGTGTTACACACGGTTGAAGTTCTTCTTCGTTAAATGTCGAATAATGGATTAAATTGGCGTTCTGGTGAATTTAATAAGTGAAATTAATTTTTAATACTATTACAACATTAATCCAATAAAGTCAAATATAACTCACCCATTCACTACGACCAAGCATTCTCCTAGCTAAGTACAAGGCTGCTGCTGCGATAATAGAGGGAGTCATGGATAAGAAACGTTGATCTACAAGTGATATTTCCATAAGGTACTTGGCAACAGTGCGAGATTCGAGGTCGAAATTGTCGGCCTTGGAAGTTCGTCGAAGAAAATTCATGGGATTTGGATAGCATAATTTGAAGTCAATAGTTTGAAGGACATATCGTTCTGCTTTAAGGATTTCATCTTCCGTGTAACCATTATCTGCCATGTAAATATAATTTTTGATTGATGGAGCCGAAACCTCCTCATATTTTGATGCAATAAATAAACCTGTAATTCCCACTAATTGAAGTTTAACTAGGGAAACGACACGAACTGAAAGAAACCGGTCTATAATATTGATAGCCAAAAACAAGGTTTCTGGAAGCAAGCGAAACTTGCTATGTACTTCAATTAACCAGTCAACAAGAATGCCTCGCATTTTCCAACTTAACTCCGATTGTATATCCATATAACTGGGATTTGCCATCGTTTCGGCCTTAAGTTCAGCATATATGCGTAAGTATTGAGTTAAATGGGTGCGATAATAACATATTAGCGGTCAGAATTTTACCTCTAGTCCTTTAAGATAATCGAAAATTTCTACGGCGTACTCGGATACCATCATGGGATCACTCAGATCGTCAGCATCAAGGTCATCCCATTCATGTGTTTTGGATTTCTTGGCGCGATTTTTATCAATGTCAGCATTGATAATTGTGGGTTCTTGTTTGACATGGTTTGCAGCAGAAACTGATATGTTAACACGTTCTGCGAGAGCAATGCGTTTTTTTGCCACAATGCCAGTGGTTTGTTTTAACGGTTGAATATCGGCGAATTCTCTCGAAGTTTGCTTCACAGCAAAGAAATTCGATTGATTGACTGCTGCATGCTTATTGTTTATAACCGGAATGTTGCTAATATTGCTGACATCATTCAATGCAGTTCTTTTTTGTTGTGCATATATATTACTAGTCTTTTTCTGTAGTAAAGCATTGGATATATTAGGCGCTGTCTCGCGGGTAACATTTTGTTTAGGTGCTGTCTCGCGGATAACATTTTGTTTAGACGTTGTCTCGCGGGTAACATTTTGTTTAGGCGCAACGACATTCTCGTCACGTTGTGTTCGAGGAAATGCTACTTTACGTATTACAACCTTGTAGACAAATTAAAATATCAAGATTTATTTTTTAATTTCAACCTTGTAGACCAATTGAAATATTATGTTTTACTTCTGAACGATTTAATAACAACAAATGCAAATACCTGTTTCTTTTTATTTTGATTATTCACAAACATACTGTGTCAAATGTAATGGTGAAACCCTAAAAACTATAATGGATAATAACAAGCATTAACATGAGTTCATATCTCATTCTAAACACGCTTGTCACCTTGCCATAAATTGTAATCTGTCATGACAATTGTTAAACAAATATAAAAGAATAGCCCTACTTAGTTAACTACCGGGTTATTAACGGGTGACAACAAATTAAAAATACCTCACAAACGTTGTTTCAAAAATGTGCCGAGTCCAACCTATTGCTACTAAGAAAATTGACGGTTGTGTTAAAGCAACAAAGAATAATTGGTGGATACTTTATTTTCATCTTTCATCAATATACCACGAATGACGTCATATTATTGCGGGAATATATAACAATCATACAGTATTTTATATACTGTATTATACATGCACCTTTTTTTCTTCTAATATTTATAATATTAGTTGAACTAAAAAGGAAGCAAATTAATATGCAAATTATTTACTTAAGATATCTTTTTATATATAATAATTAAGTTTTGAATTAAAAAAAATGGAAAAAATAAAAATAAAAATAAAATAAAATAAAGTAATCTATATAATAAATAAATAAAATAAATAATTATTAATTAAATTTAAATAATAATTTTTTTTTTTTTTATAATCCATGGTTAGGCCAGTACTATATATTTATTAATCAATATGAAAACTGATAGAAATACATAGGGCAATTACATCATGATTAAACTAAAAGTCTTGTACTGACACACTTATCAATGGCTTTCAATTTTCAAAAGAACTTTAGCCTCTAAATACAATCTTGGAGACAATATTTCACTCTGAATTAAGTTTTGAATAAAAAACCTCCTAATTTATTTATTATTGTCAGCAAGTTGTCATTGCTTATTATTTTCCTAGAAATTGAATTCAAGAAACTATTAAAGGAAAAAGGAAAAATAAAAAAAAAGGAAAATATTTAAAAATATACAAATGTATTATAAGAAAAATGAAAAAAAAAATTAAAATTAAAATGCCTCATATCTTCCAAAGGACCTCTGCTAGAAACCTCTTCTCATTATAAGTCAACCCTTCTGAGATATCCTTCTTCTTTCTAACCATCTGAGAAACTTATCTATCTATACTCTTGATTATTTTTATATAACCATCTGAAGTACTTATCACTTACTTGGATCAAATATCTTGCTTAATACTTTCTTTCTTTTGATCTTGATTTTATATCCATCCGCACAAAAAAAAAATAACTAATAGTGAACCTCAGGTTCTTATATAACTTTTCAGTTTTATTAAGTAACTCTACATATCTTTCAACAACTACACCTAGTTAAAAGAATTTTATTGATATTCATCTTGATTGTAATATTATTATACAATATCTGGGGAAATGTATTTTCAATTCTAGAGAAGAATAGTGTTTTACATTCCTCTACTTTTCAGTTTTACAGCCTAATTAGAATAAGGAAATAATCTTTTTCACATACTTTGCCTAACTGGAATAATAAGAAGTTGAAGGCTTCAATTTGAATAAATAATCACATTTTCACTATCTAGAAAATTTAGTGTCTATCTTAATGGCCTCATAATTTCTTTACTTTAATTAAACTTTATTTGGAGGAGTGAAGAAGTTCGTATCCTTGATTTCTCTTTACATTACCAATAATATCATCAAAATATATGAGGTAACCAATTGGAGCTTGTTTACATTCAGCTACTAACGTGTTTTATGTCAACCAATCAGATACCAAGTGATATTGTGCTACCAAAAATTTAGAGTCAAACTGAGATAAACAAAATTCCCCAAGAAAATCGTGAAAAATAGTAAGTACTTTAAGAGGGTATAAGACATTATATATGAAGGTGAAAAATAAGTCTTTTCTTACTAATAAAATCTCTATTTCTAGTTGTTTTTAGTTTTGTAAGGTAACAATCCACTTGTCAATCCTTTTACTTCCTAGAATCTTCTTGCCTTTAGTAGAGGAAGTGCATACTTAAGTCTTTTTAAGTTACTAGAGACTCAAGTTTTTATTCAAAAGAGTTTATAAACAAATAAGGGAGGATAGAAGAGATAAATGAAAACAAGCTTCAAGTTATTTTAATGAAAGTATAAAGACTTTATTAACAAAGAAGAATAAAACTTCTTGTAAACATTTTTTTTATGTATAATTAGAGAATCAGCAGAAAAAGTTATATACTCATTTATATAATTCTTGTTCATACTAAATAAATATTTATAATATTATATAAATTATTTTTATAATAATCAATTTTTTTTTTTAACTTGTGGTCAAATCAGCATTGTATATTTATTAATCAATATGAAAACCAATAGAGATACATAGGGCAATTGCATCATGGCTAATAATGGGTTCTTAAAGAAAGAGATAGAAACAAAAATCAAATATTCTTTACTAGGAAACATTAAAAATTTTAAATTAAAACTATAAAAAAACTATCTAAAATTTTTTTCTATTATCCAAATCATTAATTTATAACATTTCCTGACTTTTGTCTCTATTAAAATAAAGAGCTATAAATTTTGTCCCTCAAAAAGAAATATATATATATATATATTTTTTTTTTAACCCGCAGTCAGGCCAGCATGGCATGTCTTTATTGTATATATGCTAGATATTTACAAATTTTGTGACTTTTACATACTGATTCACTTGTTGTCGAAAAATTATTTCTCTAAATGCAACCTAGGGAATGATATTTCGTTCCTTTACTAATTTGGAATATTTCCTCTAATTAATAAATTCATTGTCTACAGGTCATTACTGTAGATTATTCTAAGTTTGTCTGCAGTTAAAAACCAAACCACTTTATTCCGTAACAGATCCAATCCTTGATAATTGCTGTATACTTCTTTCCTTCTATTTCTTTGGTACCTTCTAGGCTTAAATCCTTAGGAGATAATGACACTTCTTTTTGTTTCTGTTCAGTCTGTTTGTTATGTCTAGACTTGAGCCTCTTGTTTCTTTTGTCCTCTTCTGTAATATTTTGCTTTTTTTTCTATTCTATCACTTGAGCACAGTGAGTATTCCAGATCTCCTTTTTAAAGTTTTCTCTCATCTTTCGATAGAGTTTACCAATTATACCTTGTATATTTGCTAATGAAATCTTGAGCTGCTCTTTGAGATACTTCTTCAAGAAGGTGGTTTTGCTTTCTTCTATATATCCATAGATAGTATTGAAAAGGCCTCTATCAGATTTCTGGATCTCTTCTAACCATTTGTCTATCCAGTCACTTATCTTAAATTGATCTTCTTTCTTCTCTTTTATTTCTTTAC